GGCGCAGGAGAGAGGAGAGGGTGCCGGAAGCAGAGACGGGGTGTCCAGGGAACAGCGGGACGCCGAGACTGGACATCGCAGCTGGGAGAGCACAAGCGGTGCTTCTGGAAATTCTCCTCTGATTTACTTGTATTGTCTCAGTGAAATGGGACTCCAGACCACCAGCTGAGAGTAAGCTGAGAGGGAAGAGGAGCCACAAGAGCAGGACGGGGAGGTTGGAGGGGGTAGAAAAGAGTCAATCTGAAGAGTGAGGGAGTGAACAGACTGGGAATTCTATTGCAGAATGAAATACACTTGCATTTGACATCCACAAGCTGCACAGACACCATGACAATATTTCCAAAGTACACTCTCTGCAATACCAGTGCCTCGAGATGAGTCATAATAAAGGACTCCTGCAGTCAAATAAGTTTTGGAAATGTGTGTTCACTTACTGTGTTGGAGATACACAAAGCACATCAACTAGGGAAATTTTTAAAAACCCTCTTTTACTTTGTTTATCTCATTGTTTCCAAAATTTATGTGATCACGACATTTTAGAACATTCCATGGAAGTCTCGTGGGGTGCACTGGTCTCTGTCCAGGACTCCAGAGAGAAGCTCAACCTTCCAACTGCACCAAATCAGTCATCCTCACCTCCCTGGTTACCGAAAGGACGCATACCCTGTGTCTGACTTTTCCTTCGCTTGCTTTTACTCCATCTTTCTTTCTTTTTTTCCCCTCTCCGTGCCAGGAGGCCACGGAGAGCAAGAACACATCTTCCTCCCTCCCTGCTGTGACCACCCCTATCCAAGTGCTGGGGACAGCAGGCCCTCGGTGGGCATGCATTGAAGGGTGGATATATCTTGGCCCCTTGCCTTCTCAGAAGGCAGGGCTTCTACCATTTTCTAGTTTATTGCACCAGGACTAGAACGGGGAAACAGGAAGAAGGAAATATTATAAGCTAAGGCCATGACAGACAGGTGGCCTTCCTGCAGTAAAGACACTCACTTCTCGGCACCAAGCAAACTCAAAAGTGATCTTCACACATCAGCTCTGGAGATACCAGTGTCTCAGAGACGATGCCCCAGCTCGACAGAGTGCCTGTGGTCAGACTCCCTCCACATGGTGGAAGGCTGCTGGCTAAACCTCCCAGGGACAGCCTAGAACCGATACTGAACAGGTGAGATCAGGGAGATGGCCCCTCCCTTCAGATATCTATACAGAAGCCTTTATGCAGAGTTAGGGAGTCTGAACCTAAGCTAAGTATATGCCCCTCTTAGAGACTTTAATTTGTCTGTAAACATGAATCTTGTCATCTCCTTGAACCTCTGCCATTTCTGGCCACTGAGGCAAAAAGAGGCACATGGTTTCTAATTTTTTTTATGATTTCACTCCATATGGTAGAGACAGGAAAATTGAAAATGCTTTGTAGCCCACAGTGCAAACAAGTAGCCCCAGATGATTAAAGGAACAGGATCCGAAGAACTCCCTCCTCACCTGGGCTTGTTGGAGGGAGCAGAACTGGCTGCAACCTGCTCAGCTCTTCACGGCTGAGCTGGGTCACCCTCTCGGAGATGACCTGCTGGACGGTCCCCAGCTGGCGGAAGGTGGGGATGGCCACAGCGAAGTCCGGGATGAAGGAGATGGTCTGCATCTCCGTGATGTCGGCGTTCCCGATGCCAATACCGATGGGCACTGCGCCTCCTCTCTTCAGGACCACAGAGGGGCCCCTCACGTCGTCCCCAGACCTGTCGGCCGTGAGCACGATCAGGAGCTGGGGGACGCCTTCTGCTATCCTGCTTCCTGCAGAGCTGATCAGGATGTTCCTCAGGACAAAGTCCAGGGCGGCCCCGGTGTTGGGGGTCGGCCCTCCCAGCAGGGTCAGCCCACGGACGGCGCCGATGACACCCTGCTGGTCCATGTATGAATTCAGGTAGAACTCGGGCCTGGTCCGGTCGCTGTACTGCACCACGGCCACGCGGACCCGGTCAGGACCCACGTCCAGACTCTCCACCACTCTCTGGACAAACTCTTTCAACAGAGGGAAGCCGCTCCTGACACCCTCAGAACTATCGATCAGAAACACCACGTCCTTTTCTCCTGAAACTGGGAAGAAGACAAAATCGATCACTCAAGCAGAACACGAGAGCCACAACTTCATACCAGTGGGGTGGGCTGCACAGCGGTCAGAAGGATGTCCAATTGCAAATGCCTGAACTCATCCAAAGGACTCTGTGGGTGTGACTGAGTTAAGGATTTGGGGATGGGGAAGTTATCCCAGATTATCCAGTAAGCCCAAGGTAATCAATCACGAGTGTCCTTATAACAGGGTCAGAGTCAGAGAGAGAAGAAGAAAGGATGGAAGCAAAGGTCAGGAAGGAGATGCTGTACTGCTTGCATTGAGGACAGAGGAAAGGGCATCTAGAAGCTGGAAAAGGCAAGAGAATGGATAACCTCGAACTCCCAGAAGGTGCAATATGCTGACACACTGGTGTTAGCCCAGCAAGACTGGTTTCTGATCTCAAAACGTGTCAGATAATAAGTTCATTTTGTTCTGAGCCACTGAATTTGTGATAATTTTTGACAAAAGCAATGGGAAACTAATTCACCAATATACAGAGTCCTTATATTTTGGAACTTTTCAATGCTTGAACAGTACTGTTAACTTTCACGGGGTACTCAAGAAAGCAGTCTGTGGGACGGTGTGTGAGGGGTGGGTTCAGGACGTCGGAGCCCACATAACCATTAGCATTTTATAGATGGGAGGTTTCAAGTGATCTGCTGCAAGTCATGAGTGGATCCATGGGGAAAAAACATAACCCAGACAACAGAGTTACCACCCCAAACCAATAGTGAATGGGCCTGATAGTCAACAGACACTCTAGAGTCTCAATTTTAATCAAAACGGTATATGTGAAGTTAATTTCTCTTTTCACTGCATTTTTATCAACAAATGAAAAGTTATTAAACACAAGTCATGGTAATGTAGTTTAGCAGTTGGAAAGTTTAGTGCAGCATTTGCAATGGGAATTTATCTGCCTCCTTTAAAGCCTTTTAATTTTTAATGAATATAGTGAAGGAATTATAACACAGTGATACCCATTTAAAGGCACTGGGGGAATATGAAGATTAAAACACTTTAGCTATAATGTAACCATATTATATGGTTTTTATTATGTATATGGTAAAAATGGTGCTTCTTAAAAACAAATTTTAACCATTAATATCTAAATCTTTCTAGTATATCTTATTATGAAATATTCTAATGCCCTCAAAAATAATCACCCTGATTCTCCTGGTTTGCCATGGAAAGCAGCCAGAGAGTCAAAGCTAGGAAAGAAAACCCATATTCTATTGTTCCTGCCAAAACCACCTATTAATTTTCCATCTTCCCCATAAACGCAAGGAGGGCTTTATCTGAGGACCTGGAGCCAACAACCTACCCTCAACCCATGCACCGGAGGATGGGGCTGCAGAAGCGACCAGATTTCTATACTGTACCTGGTGCTGGCACTCCGTTGTGCACCGATTTCAAGAGATTCACGATCTGTGGTTGAAGATTTCCGATCTTGGGAAGCGACTCGGCGGCCAGAATAAACGCTGGGGACGGCACTATCTGCTCTAACTCAGCAGAGTCCGCATTCTTGGCTTGGAAGATGAAGGGCACCACCCCGCTCTGCTTCAGGTTGCTGGCTGGGCCACCCACAGAGTCCGACGACCTCCCCGCAACCAGCAGCACCAGGAACTGAACCACCCCATCCTCGATCCGGCTGCCGGCAGACTTCACAAAGATGTACCTCTGTGCATAGTCCAGGGCGTAGCCCAGGTTGAGGGCTTTGCCTGTCTTGATCTTCATTCTCTTCACAAGATTCAGGATCTCAGGCTTCGTCTGATGTTCATTGAAACGGGACTCCACCCTGACATCATCGCTGTACTGAGCCACTGCAATGCGGGTGCCATCTGGCTTCACATCGAGCTCGTCGATAATCTTGTAGAGAAAGTCACGGACAGCAGGAAACTGGCCCACGAGATTGGCTGAGCCATCAAAGAGGAAAAGAATGTCTCGCTTGCTCTCTACAAGGAAAGTCGATGAGGACATAGTTAGAGTTGGGAGCGTTACAAGCACCACACTGACTTCAGCCCAGCACCACTAGCATTTGACAATGGGCGTTCACAGAATTCACCTGATGACCACCGAACCAGCAAGAGAAGAGGAAACAAGTGTCCTATTTCAAAGCAGTGCATATTAGCAAAAAAAAGAACTAGATCTATCTGTTCAATCTAACGTCATGCTTCCCTATGAGGGGAACCAGCAAAAAGCACCACCAGGTTCTGCTCTTGCATTAGGTGGTGGTCACTGCAGGAGAACAGATAGTATTTTCAAATTGTTATACATAAAATTATTGAAAATTTGGTCCTTATAGTAATTTTGCTTAAAAATTGACCCCAGTCTCTAGTGACAAAGGCTAATATGGGTTAACCACCCCAGGATAACTGGGTTGCCATGTGTCACTCTAATTGAATTATCTTTCCACTATATGGGGTATCGGGGTCAGGGTCTCTGTCAGTGCTTTCTAATCCACTGTCATCAGACAAAGAAACCATGGAG